GTGACCAGTGGTCTTACCGGTACTGCCTGTTGTTCTGACACAATTTTTCCTTTCTGGGTAGGCCCTGAACTAGGGGTCGTAGCTCTAATTGGACTGGATCTGAGCTTGATTTAGTGCTACAACCCTGCTCTACATTCTTTTTCCCTGCCATTGCAGCTATTGCAGATAACAGCAACCAAGGAATCCTAAGTCTAGCCTTTTCCTTGTCATTCTAGCATAGTGCCTTAGGCACTTGACTGCTAACCAGAAGGCTGGCAGTTCAAACCCACCAGCCACTCCTCGGAAGGTTGGGCAATCCTACTTCCGTAGTGATAACGCCTCGGAAACCCAAGGAGGGGTCGCTGTGAGTCAGGGTGACTCCACGGCAAATAACAACAGCCAATTCCTCAGGAGTTAGGTCCACTTCTCCTAAATCTCATGAATAGCTTTTGCCTTGGGTGACCGATCTCAACAAAAGAGCTGCTTCAATCCATTGGTTTCTTTTATCCCATCCAGAAGCCAAAGGTTTCTTACTTTCCCGTTTATCTCCTTTCTCCCAAAACCACATATTCCAGTGTGTCTGTACCATTGCAGCGAATCCCACCATTCTGACACCAATTGCTTGAACAATTTCTCTTAGAAAGATCAGCACAAGGCCGGTCCCCATGAGGCGGAGGTTAAAGATGTCCCAAACGTGCCACTCCATCATTTCAGACATTAACTCCCCCTCCTCCTCCCACTAATTTCCCCAATCTTAGGGTTCTGTATTTCACTGTAACGCCTCACAGAACTCACAGACACCCAAGGGTTCGTCTCACATAGTAGTGGTGGAGGCTGGCAGGCTGGCGAGTCCTGGGTCCGTGAGTAGGTCTGGCAGATCCTCCCAACTCTCGGGGTTTGAGGAACCTCAATCAGCAGATCAGATGATGGCTGCTGTCCCGAATCCAGGGGTGAATGAGGATGATCCAAGACACAAAACCAGAGCAAGAGGAGGTCGAATCTTCCCAGGAGATTAGTAGGTATACCCTCAGGGAAGCTAAGGGTGGTGATTTGAATTATACTGTCCAGCAAGGCAGGACTCAAGATACATTCCACCTGTGTTGCCCCAACAGAAATAACCTAAATCCCATCACAGAGTCAATTGCCAGTCATTATAGGGAATGACTACTACCAGCTGCCCAGCCAAGTTGATACCTGACCTTAACTACCACACCACCTCAAACAGGCATGGATAATGGGATTTACAAAACATCACAGAATGGAGGACAGTGGCTAGAAGGGCAACATCAAGCAATTCACTGCAAATGTGTTATTTATTTCTATTTAGTATTCATCTTCTGGATTTCTATCTGTAGATTCAGAATCATTTCTCATTTTTCATTTATTTTGTCATTTTGTTATTGTATTTTCTTCCATAATTCTTCTAGGGTTTTGTCTGTGTTTTCCTTGGTGTGTCTTTCAATCCTTTGAAGATACCTAAATATAATTCTTTTGAAGTCCTTATCAGGGCGTTCCAGTGCTGTTTCTTCCTCGGATGTGTTCTGGGTCTGTATCCTGCTCCCTTGTGTCTACCATTTTATCCTGCTTCTTTGTGTGGACTTTGATGGTCTGTTGTCTTCAAGACATTGTGACTTTGTCGTATTTTGATCATTGTTAACTGTTTGTGAAGAGCAGCTAAGGGTGATTCAGGCTCTTCTTCGTGGTTGTTTACTGTAGGCCCGTTGGTGGAGAAGGAGGTGGTGACTGTCACTCAGTAAGTGAAGCTACAGGAGGTGTGGGCAGAGTTATGTCGTATGGGGACTTTTGCTGTCTCCCACTCAGTTAGACAAAAATAACAATTGAATAACCATCAAAAAAGTAAAAGCAAATGGACAAAAAACACACCGTGTAATCATACAGGAACAGTAACCAAAATAGAGAAAAAGGAACAAAAACAAAAACAAAACAAAACAAAAAACACACCGCAGTATCTGGGGAGTGGGCAATAAGATAAAGAAGTAGAGAGAGAGAATAATGAAGAAAAAAAATGGGAATAACGCAAAAAGAAAAGCAAGGAACAGGGTTACCCACAAGAAAGAAAAAACAAAAAATTGGAACCAGGAACAGGGAAAAGTAAAAAAGCTGAAAACTAGAACCTGGGAAGGGAAGAATAAAGAATGATAATAAAAAGGAGAAAAGTAATAGTAGTAGTTTTGAAACAGACAAACACAAACTAAAAAAAAGGAGAAAAAAAATCTGGACAGAGTGAGGCAGGGCATCCAGGCTCCGTGGGAGCACACAGACTAGGATGGAATTCCTGCCAGCCTAGAAGGTGGGTGGGAGTAAGGGATGGCCACACTCCATTCACCAAGAGGGTATGGGGTATAAGAGTAATAAGGGGAATGTCGCACCTTTCTAGTAGTCCATGTGTCCAAGATTGTCTCTGTGGTTCCTAGCAAGCGGAGCCTGTTCTTAAGTCCCTGGAACCTGGGAGAATGCTGTTGCTTTAAATATCCAAATGGTCAAGCCACTTGTAAACAATCAAAATGGCTGCACCTTCCGGGCAGGTGAAAGTCCACAGCTCATCCCACCTTCCTCTTCTCTGCTTCCCCTTTCATTCACCAGCCACCAGAGCAGTCCTCCGTGCAGTCCCTGGCTAGCTGGGCTGATTTTTAGGTTAATTCTTAGGTCCTACCACCACTTGTCTGTGCTGTCAGGATCACTTCCAGACCGCAGCTCCGTATGTCTCCTTTTTTGGTATTTTCATGCAGATTCTTCTGCTACTTGGAGTTTAGTCCACTTCTATATCCTTCCCTTCAAAGGCCAGGGGTCCAAGATTATCTTCTGTATCTGTGTTAATTGGTTCCCCTTTTCTTTGTTGAAGAGGGTCTGTGCAGTCTCTCTGCCCATTCTGCAATCTTACCAGAACTCCTAGAGAAGGGTTTTAAGGTAGATTAGGATGATACTGGGGCAAGATGGGTACAGGGCAAGTAGAGGAGCACAAAAGGGAAAAGAATGGCCAAACCTCTCTGGCCTTGGGGCACTAGAGGGCTGAGTGGTCTGCGGCTTCACCAGTGCATTTTGGGTGCCTGAGGAGTGTTTGCGTTTTTGACCTCCATCTTAGCTTAACTAGGACTTGACTCTGTTGAGAGGCAGGTGGAGAGAATCAGTCTCCTGGAGGGGAAAGTGAGGAATCAGGGAGACGACACTCAAGTTCCCTGACTTTAACTGAACAGCTGGATGGTGGTGCTGACTCACAGAAATGAGGAACACAGGAGGGCAGGCGGGCTGAAGTGTGTGCAGCACACATGCCAGCTTCAGGCATGTGGAGTTAGTTGAAGGGATCTACAAGACACTTACGTGGAGAGGTACAGGAAGCAGCTGGAGAGGCAGGTATAGATCACAGGAGGAAAAAACAGTCCAGAAATACCAATGATAGATTTAGAAAATTTATTGTGTCATTGAGGGATTAACAATTAAAAATATATATTTTCCACCACAGACAGTTTACTTGTGAAAGGACCAGTGGCTATGCTCAAGGCCAACAGAGTTTGGGGAGCATTACGAGGTAAGTTTTTTGCAGTTTTATTATTTTTTAGTGAAGGAATGGTGTCAGTTGGTGCTTCGAGAAATCAAGTGTAGCAACATGTTGCTCCCTAGAACTCTTTAAAGACTGGTTTGTCAGGTACTTCCAAAATGGTTTGTTAAACAGGTACTACTTCAAACACAGGAGAAACATCGTTTGGCCTTTTAAAAATTGAGGGGTTTAAATTTCCACAGCGCTATAATTCACTGAGGGAGCTGTGATGGCATAGTAGCTAAGTTACTTGCCTGCTAACCAGAAAGTTGGATCAAACCCACCAGCCACTCTTCAGAAGGAAGGTTGGGCAATCTACTTCCGTAGGAATACTGCCCTGGAAACCCAAGGAGAGGTTGCTATGAGTCGGGTCCAACTCGATGGCACATAACAACATAATTCACTGATATACTTGAGAGTGTAACATATAAATAGCCCTACCTTGTAGGGGAGTTTGTATCAGCTGTCTCTTCTTGTTGCCTTCACTAGCAAGAATCTCTCCCCATGTTAAATGTGTGTGTATTTAGAAACAGGTACCATTTATAGGAACAGTGTGAAAAGGTAAATTGCTCCAGTTTGTTCAAGGCAGTGGGCAGAGAACCTTAAAAGCTTTTCCTGGGTCTGAGTTTCAGGGTCTGAATGTGGAAGTTTGGGCACTGGGATGTTGATTTTGCTGTTCAAAATCTTTTACTACTTCTAGATAGCTAAGATACTGTCTTCCATATTACAGAGTTCGTAAAAGGACATATATTCCATATTACAGAGTTCCTAAAAGGATATATATATATATATATATATATATATATATATATATATATATATATATATATATATAGGAGCTAACCAAAGTTATAATAATTAAATAAAAAATCTTTGGATTTGACTCAGATTAAGCATTATCTAAAATAAAATAATCATTTTTATGCTATTGTAATTGTATTTCAGAATGTTGTTGTTAGGTGCTGTTGGGTCAGTTCTGACTCATAGCAAACCAGTGTACAACAGAACGAGACACTGCCAAGTCCTGTGCCATCCTCACAATCTTTGCTATGTTTGAGCCCATTGTTGCAGACACTGTGTCAATCCATCTCACTGAGAGTCTTCCTCTTTTTCAAAATGTTGTTGTTATGTGCCGTCAAGTCGGCCCCAACTCATAGCAACCCTTCCTTGGGTTGCCAAGGCACTATCACTATGGAAGTAGATTGCCTAGCCTTCCTTCCGAGTGGTGGCTAGTGGGTTTGAACCGCATGAAAATCTCTCAAATATCTATAGATATTTATTTACTATAAATGTGCATGTTGTTCGACTTGATCCATATCAAAATAAAGAACTTTAGAGAACATGCAGTAACCAGATTCTGACCCAAGAAGTCCTTATTTTCTGTTTACTATCAGACTTTCAAAGTATCTTCCTCTGTGGAATATGCTGCCATTTAGATTTCCTTAATTCTTCCCAATATGAGCCCATAACTGAGGGATGAAAAAGGAACAACAAAAATGCCTTTGAACAATTCTTAAGTTAAGCATTTCCCTGATTATATAGTCATCAGCTAGAATGATGAACCTTGATAAAGTTAAGGACATTAGAGGAATTTGCCTGTAGTATAGTGTTAAGGGAACAATCCACTTGAGAAAAAAATGGTCACAAAATAATCTTTGCAGTTGTAAGTTGTAGGTTATAAATTGGGTCTTTATTATAGTTTCATAGTGGTTCTTTTTTTTTTTTTTAGGCTTTGTATCCTCTTTTAAGTTTAGGTACCTTCTAAAATGACTATAATATTTGGTCAAAAAATTCTTTTTCATAATGCTACAAGTTTATTGAAAAAATTATGTTTTTGTTTCGTTAAATCTTTTAGAGTTTATAACTAAAACAAAACCCAGGCTATGGGTACAAGTGAAGAAGAGCATGTCAGATGAATATAGAAAGCAACAGGACTTTTTTTTTTAATTGAGCTTTAATTTCAGAAAATATGTTAGAGGTTATAGGTATAACATTATATTTAATTCTGTTTGCCTTACCTGGTTGTAGGTATATGTTTGGATAAGACAATTTTATAAATTAACACAATAAATTTCATTTTCCCCAGGTTTAGAGACCTTTAGCCAGTTAATTTATCAAGATTCTTATGGGACTGTGAGTATGGTTACTATGTTACTAAAATTGTTGCCTAGACATATTACTACTAAAAAAATATAAATAAAAATATAAGTTGTGTAATTATTACTCCCTAAAGGTTTCTTTTCCCCAAATATTTATCTTGTCTGGTAAGTGTAAATTTTACTATTTTTTGCTTCTATATTAATCATGAGCTTAATATTTGCATAGGTAGATACAGTCTGTATTGAGCTCAAGACAAAATTCTAAAAAGAAATCAAACTTTTCTTTTGTTTTATAGTTCACCATCAGTGAATGCACCATTAGTGATTCACCAAGGTTTCCTCATAGGGGAATTTTAATTGATACATCCAGACACTATTTGCCACTTAAGAGTATTCTTCAGACTGTGGTAGGTAATTTATTTAATCTAATTACTCTAATCCATAGTCTGTTCTGAAAGTGTATCCTCTGTATGTTGTCATACTAGTTACTTACACTTGTGTACCTTGAAGCAGGGGTACTTATTTTTCATATACTAAATATCAGCACTGGACTTCCCTCCCTCCCTCCTCCACTAAGTGTATGTTTTCAGCAGTTTAGAGGACCTCCCTAAGGGACTGCCCCCCATTTCCATTGTGGGGACCATACATATATTTGGTCACAATCGTTAAGAGAAAGGCATAATTCTAAGCTGTTGTGTAAGGAGCCCTGGTGGCATGCTGGTTAAGCGTTCGGCAGTGCGAACCACGAGCTGCTCTGTGGGAGAAAGATGTGGTAGTCTGCTTCCGTTAAGATTTACAGCTATGGAAACCCTAAGTGGTTTGTGTCCTATAAGGCTGCTGTGAATCAGAGTCAACTCAATGCAATATTTTGCTTTTCTTTTTTGTAATTGTGCTGTTGAGTCAATTTGACTCATAGGAACCCTGTGACAGTAGAATGGCCCCATGGGTTTTCCTAGGCTGTCATCTTTCTGGGAGCAGATCATCAGGTCTCTTCTCCTTCGGACCCACTGGTGGGTTTGAACTGCCAACCTTTTGGTTAGCAGCTGAGTGCTTACCCATTGCACTCTATATATATATTGAGTCTCTATGCAGATTGCCATTTGTCAAATCATAGATTCAGATTTTTAGGGTAGGAATCCATGGCAAACATACACCTAGTTACTGTCCTTTAATTTCGTAACTTCCATTTACTTTTTAAAAGGTGACCTAGAAAGGAGTTTGGAAGCTGTTTTATACCTGTGACACAGTTCCAAAGGAATATGGAACCTCAGGGGTGGCAGGGGGTTGGGAGCTAACCCCAACTCTTTTCTCCCAAGAACTTGTCATGGACTCATCATCACCATAACCTGCCAATTTGCACAGGTGGGAGGTTTTCCTCACCATGTTTTTCTGTACCTTCACTTGATCATTTATGAAAACACCATATTATAAAAAATTTATTTTTATATTTAATGACCTAAACTTTTTGCTCCAAAGACATTATTGTCAATTTTGTTACAGAAATAAATGCTTAGTGTAAAAAGATCAAGTAATATAGATATGCATAAAATAGGTAGTCATTCCATAATTTCCTTTACCAAAGATTGCCATACATTTGTATGTCTCATTTATTCATTTTAGATTTACAAATGAATTTATCAACACTTACAAATAATAATGTGATTTTTAAAAAGTTTATATGGGACTGTGCTTTTGTTATTTTAAAAAAACCCTAAATTATAGCTTTATTCTTTCTCTATGAAAGAATATATAGGTCTCCTGCTCATGTTTTATTATTATCACAAACAGTGGTGCAGAATAAGTATGTATATTTATTTTTTTAACTTTTTATTGTGCTTTGGGTGCAAATATACAAAGCAGATTCATTTTACTCTCAACAATTCATGCACATTTGGTTTTACAGCCCCAATTATAATCCTAATAAAAAGCTCTCCTCCCCTCTCCTCCCTGTAACTACCTCCTCCCTGTGCCCTTCTTGTCTATGCATTCCTGTCTGTCCAGCTTTCCCTCTATGTGAATGCTGCCCCTCTGATGTCTCATGGCTGACTGATCTAAGGGGTGCATCTTCCCTAGGGGAGGTGGGTACATCTCTCTAGGGTACATGTTCTGCTTGTAGGCCTTTCTACTGTTTGGCTGAGAGCTAATCTGTGGAGGTGAGACTAGTTCCAAGCCTGAAGAATAACCCAGGGGCATAGTTTCCATCCAACCAATAATCCTGATCATTTTTGTGTTTTTGAATTTTGTTCTATATTTTTCCTCCCGCTCTATCCAGGATTTCCAATTCTGATCTGAGTGGCTGGGCTTGGTCACCAGGCATTGTTTGGTTCTGGTCTCAGAGTCGTGGAGGCTGAAGTTCCTTTGGTCCATTATACCCTTGAACTAATTGTTTTCATATGACTTTGATTTTCTTCGCTCTTCCTTGCTCTAGATGAGGGGAGACCAGTAGTTGTATCTTAGATGACCATTTGAAAGTCTGAAGACCCCAGTCACTACTCACCAAAGTAGGATGTAGAGCAAGATTTTTACATACTGTTGTGCCAGTTGAGCTTCATCCCCCTCAGACTATGGTCTGGGGCCCGCAGGTCCAGTAACTCACTCAAGGTGCTGTCACTGAAGCATGTGTATTTGTACATTGGCAGGATTAGATCCTGAGGATAAATTCTTGGAAGTGAAATTTCTGGCTTAAGGATGAATACACTTGACCTTTTGGTAAATACCATCAACTGCCTTCTACAGAAGTCATACCATTTTATTCTTGGCCAACAGTGGCGCACATCCTTTGCTGTATTCCTTGCTAATCTGATGATAAAGTCTGTTGCCTTATTTTAATTTGTACTTCTTTGATTTTTAGTGAATATAAACCTCTTTCACTTGTTTATTAGCTACTTCTATCTTTTATATTGCAAACAGCAAGTTTATTTCCTATGTCCATTTTGTAGACACACAATTAACATCCTTGTTGGTTTAAGAGCTTTTTATTCTATTCATTATAGACCTGTCAGTTATACTTTTATATTTGCTTGTACTTATATTGTGTATCCATACATCATATATTCTTGTGAAGTTTTTCTACATTTGATTTTTAAATTATGTTTACAGTATCTTTGCTTGTTTAGAAGTTTTCATTTTTTTTTTACTTCATTCATTTCTTTTATGGTTTCTGGCCTTGAGAGGGATGCTGAGAAAAGCCTTCTCCACAAAAAGATTCAACATTATTTTTGAGCAATCTATAATTTTCCCAATGTTTCAGCATTAAGAATTTAAAATACTAAATTCTCATTAACACACAAGTCAGTTTCTGAATTCTCAGTCTATTATATTTACCAGCTCATATGCTTGTTGTTGTTGTTGTTGTTAAGTGCCGTCGAGTCGTTTCCGACTCATAGCGACCCCATGCACAGCAGAACGAAACACTGC